TGCAATGTCCAGAGCCCCTTCTCAGATCTGGTCTAATTCTCTCTGCTTCCTTCTCAATGAAGATCCTAAAACTCTACCTTTCTTTATTCTCTGCTTTTCATTACCATCAACTTCTCCATCTGTTGAGTGGTGTTTCTTTCCCCCAAAATGGCCAATGGCATGGGAAGGAATGAGACTAAAAACAAAATATATATTACCTGTTAACTAAGACCATTAAATAAAGAACAGTAATGAGATATAATAAAAAAAGTTTTTTTAACCTGCCAAATTATCAAAATAACAATGATCTTTGGCCACAGAGATTAAAAACAAAAGTGGCCTCAGTCTAAGGTTGAACAGTTACCATACAGATGTCCTTACAGAAATCCTTTGCATTTGAAGTTATGGTGGCTTCTTTGCAAATTTGTGGTCTGGCACAGTCCTTTTTGATAGTCATCATCAGGCAATCATGTATAAGGACCCTTTCTTTGGACAGTTTCTTTATAAATCTCATTTCAAAGGGTCACTGTCTCTTCCTTAATTGTCTATGCATGACTGTTAATTTTTTCTTGTTTCTATCCTTATTTTAGTACATATGTTTTTGGTTGTGCTTCCCTGCTACTGTGAAGGTCATTCAAGACTTCTCATTCTTTTTCTGTGTTAGTTATGCCAGTTGTGGGAATGGATCCAGATATTCCTGACCACACGGCTTCCCTTGGAGGGACTGGGGACATTTCTGTTTCTGAAGATCCTCACCTCTGAAAACTGTTCATTGTTTGGCTACTGTTTCTAGGGTCCTCCTTATCCTCCTGGCTGGAGATGCAGTGATTCACTAGAGTTGCAGGGCCTTTTAGTTCCTGTCATCTCCTAGGTCCTGGTTGACTATCCTCTCAGCCATTTAATGTTCCTTGGCTTTTGCCTCCATGTCTTAGATGTCGAACACCAGAAGGCCAGTTTCATCAATCTTGAAGTGAAAGTTGTGGGTCTCAATTCTAACATCTGTAATTTTCTTTAGCTTTTGGCAGTACCTTGGATATAAATTGAGACTGGAGGACGTAGCTCCTTCTTTTGAGTTTATTACTTTTTAAAAAAACCTCTTATTCTGCTACATGTGGATTTCCAGTTTTGCCAGCACTATTTGTTTAATCGGCTATCTTTTCTCCAGTGAATGTTTTTGGCGCTCTTGTCTAGTGACAGATTCACTCCACAGCTGACTCTCAACCTCTGGTAACAATCGCAAAAATGTATACGATTTCTCCTTTATAAACCTTCTATGACTTACTAAGACAACTTGTTTAAATCCTTAGTTTTTTCCTATCTTTATTTTTCCCAACTTGGAATAATCTAGTCATTTTTTATGGGGAAAAAACCTCATTTTTCCACAAAAAAATTCTTTCTAATCTAAAAACATTCCCTTTTCCTTTTAACTTTCTTCACCAAAATATACCATCATGCTTATAACTTTTTTACATCTCTTTTTATTCACTAATTTCTATTTGTCTTAACATTTTAAAAATTTGCATTTTGATGCAATCCTTACAACATTTATGAATTCAAAAAATTACTTTTTTGTGGTTCTGGGGATTGAACCCAGGGTCTTGCACATGCGAGATAAGGGCTTTACTACTGAGATACATCCCAGCCCTAAATTACTCTTTTTCTAAATAGGATAAAAATACTTCAGACTTTTTAGTTTTCTCATCAAAACACAGCTTAAATTCTTTGCATTATTGCTTAAGATTTAGCCTATAGTGTTAACAGTCCTCACACCCCAAATCTGCACTTCCAAAAGTGACTTTGTTGAAGCAAAGTAGAAAACTTATGTCTCAAAGACACAGAAGTTATCTAGAAACATCACCGAGAAGGGAGTAAGCAAAGGCCCAGTGAAAGCAGTAGGTTTAAAGATGATATGTGTTATGTAGTTTTAATATCGTTCCCTATTTTTCTAGTCAGCAGGAGTGTGGCCTGCTGTGAGTTACTCCATAATGTATAAAACATAAGCTAAATCTGAGTTACTCCACTTATAGAGCAGTTTTCCACAAGCCACCCCATTTTATGTGCTGAGGTGGAATGACTATACCTTGTTGGTACCAGTAAACAACCACCATCTGCCTGCCACCACCAAAGGCACAAACTGATAAATTAACTGTGACAGTAAAAATGACCACCCATGAACTTATCAAACTAATCAGAAGCACATAGGTGCATGGTATATCAAACCACACCAGAAAGACAAGTCCACAAGCTTATCAAGCATACCAGACCTCTGAATGAAGCCGCCCCTCACTTGGGGTCCATAAAAGGAGGAGTCCCTCGAGACTGGACATGACAGCACCCTAACCCTGTCACCTGGTCATTTTTCACAAGCCTCGCTCAGGAAAATCACATTGAAGAACCTCTGAATCTCGTCCTTGGGCTTTAGCAGAGTGCAACGTCTCCAGCTCGTATTGACCGCACACAGTCCACTCCAAGCTGACACTGTGAATCTACCATCTGTCCAGACCTGGACCTAGAATAAGTTCCTGTTCTTTGACAGCCCTGAGCTCAGAGCACAAGTTCTTTGGTTTGTTCATAATCTTATCTGACTGAAACTGAATTCTTCACCTCTGCTGCTGTCGGTGCCAGTGGGCTGTAGCCCTCTGTGCCATGGCAGCTACTCACAGCAGGGGTTGCCCACTGGCATTAGTGACTGGTCTTAGCTGGCAGGACCCAATTTGTTGGTGCTGCAGGAACAAGAAGGGTCTAACTTTGTTGTAACCCTCCAGAGCAGACAATTGCCTGTTTAGCGTTTCAGCAGACCCCAGCCACTTGCCAGTGACTTCTTTCTGGGTTCTTGCCTCACAGTTTAGAAGAATAAAATCCATGGACAATGGAGAGTGGAAATGAAAGAGTAGAAATTACTCAAAAAAAGAAACAGCGGTTTTCCACCCACTTGTACTATCTAGGGGATAATGCAGCTACTCTGTGGGGACACTGCTCACTAACTATGCTGATCAAGTACTGGGAAGTGCCAAGGCTATTGGTTTGGCCTGTGACCTTCTGATTGGCTGTTGTGCCTTTAGCCCTTGAGTCTGTAGCCTTCACTCAGAAAAGGAATTGGCTGGAATGTTTGGAATGTTTCTACAGGTCAATTTCGTGGATTGGCCTTTACATTTACAGAAGTCTTTAGGGTGCCCATTGGCCTAACGGCCTGTTTCACCATCTGTCTGTCCTATCTATTCATGACCACGACAGTGACTCTTTGCATTGGTATCTGCTAAGGACTTTGCTCTCAGTTTAGCTTTCTGGACTCATGTGACTGCCTTAACCCTTCATTAGAAATTAAGATTGTGATTTCCTGGCTTATGACCACTCAGTGACACACAATTATTCTGTGAACTAACCAATGAAAATGGCGTCGTTTGTGACTGAATTGTCATTCAATAAATTATGACATTGTGGAAAGACACAAACATGCTCCTTCTACGTTAATAGCTCACTCATGACAGGGAAACGGTCTTATAAATGAAAATTCTTGGCGTAGTAGATCAAGATGTTATACTTTGGAGAACTATCTGATTGATAAGTCCTTTTAATCGAATTTGGTTTTTTAATCAGATGTAGCATTCAGTTCAAACGAAGTAAGGCAAACCGTATTTTTAATGTCCACAAAACCTGGAAGAGCTTCCCTTGACTTATGGTGTGTGTGTGTGTGTGTGTGTGTGTGTGTGTGTGTGTGAGAGAGAGAGAGAGAGAGAGAGAGAGAGAGAGAGAGAAAGAATATAAGTGGGAGATAAACTTGCAAACACACTTCTCACTCGTGGGGAGTCAGGAGGAAACCAAGGAGGGACAGGCTAATAAAGGGCGGAATATTACGAGGCAGCTTCTTATCTCCAGCAGGTTTCAACAAGCCCTCTGAAAAGGGACTTCTGACCTGCAAGGAGACTGTCCTCAACTCCAGCAGGACCAGGCGGGGTGGGAGGTCGGCCAGGGACCCGCTCTGCACACGACCAGAGCCGGTAACATTTTGGGCTCGGCGGGGCTCAGGAGGGGACTCGCGCTGTGACCGCTCCGACCCCACGTGGCCTCACGGGGGGGAGGGGGGCTGGCGGCGCCCCGGTGCACATCGAGGACCCCGCCGGCCGGTGGGGACAACACGGGGACCCAGGGAGGCAGGACTAATGGACCCCGGTCCCCGGTGCAAGGATCCCTCAGCACGGCTGCGGGGCCATGGAAACTACGTTACCCACAATGCCCGGGGCCGAGTGGCGGAGAGCTGAGCCAATGAGCGGCCGCTTCCTGTTTCGGGCAGGGCTCTGTCCGGGACTTCCGGCGTCGCTGCCTGGTGCGTCTTCTGCGCTCCGGGGAACCGTTTTCGCCGTCCGAAGTTGTGGGGCGTGGAGTCGGGGTCGAGGTGAGGGGATGGCGAAGGCGCGGGCAGGGTGACCCCGCAGCTGCCCCCGGCAGGCTCGAGTCGCGGCGGCCCGGCCCCGCGGGACCGGCCCGGGAGGGGCTGCGCCCATCTGCGCGTCACGCCGCCCTTCGGGTCCTGCCGCGGGACCGCGCGCGTCTGGGCCCGGGCGGCCGACGGCAGGTGCGGCGAGGCGGAGAGCGAGGCTAGAGGAGGACACGGTCTGAGTCCGGCTCGTCGGTGGTCCAGGAGCTGCTCAGAGTTGAAGGGCCTGAGAAGGGGCCCGCACTGCAGCCAGGAAGGTGGAGTCCTGTGCGGGGTCCCCAGCTGGGAAGAGCGAGCCCGAGGACCGGGCCAGGGATAATGCGGACTCCGCAACTCCTGGCTGGGCGGGAACGGGGGTCCTGCGCCCAGGAAGTCCTGCCACCATCTCCTGCCCCTCACAACCTTCTTCCCACAGATTCCCTTGACCACGGAAGCGCTTATGGACTGGATGCAGGTAAGTGGAGTCGGTTCCAGGGCCTCGTTGGTGCCCCGCTCTCAGTCCATGGAATTGTGTCCTGGGTCTCTGCCTGCCACGCGGACACTGCTGGACCTGGGAACTCGGAAGAAACAGCAAAACAAGGTCATAACCTAGGCTGAGGCCGTATGGGATGGTTTCTGTTGTAACTAGTAGTAACCAATGGGATGAGTGATGAAGGGGTACCCCGTGAATAGGTCCAAGAATGTGGAAATGTTTGGGTATGAGACTGAGCTTGTTCGGGACCATAGATTTCCTTTCATTCTTATGGAACATCAGAGCAGGGGTGCAGAAGTCAGGTCGGGAAGGTTAGGAGTCTATTCTGGAAGTGATGGGAGCAGTGGGAGGTTTGGAGCATAGGAGGAAGGTTATCCGTCCAGATCTTATTAGGCTTAATGTGACTGCAGCAAAAACAGACTATGGTTGTGCTCAAGTAAGAATTGATGTGGCTGGACCACTGGAGTGGCCAGAGTGGCCAGAATCCAGGTGTGGCTGGATTCTGTATTGGTTTTTCATTAGGGTGTTTCATTTTATGTTTTGTGGTGCTGGGTCTTGAACCATGGGCTTCACACATGCTAGGCAAATGCTTTACCACTAAGCTGCACACCCCTTGGGTTTCATATTTAAGAGTGAGAAAAAAGTAGAAAAAGATGGGTGATTCCATTGTTTTTGGTTTTAGCATCTGGAAGGGTAGAATCTCCACTAACCAGAATGTTAAAGCTGATAGTTGGTTTGATTTTCATTGTGTAGTATCAGGAGTTTTGTTTTGGCTATCTTAAAAGAGTGAGATGTTTAAAAGCAATAGTGGAAATGTCTAGTTAGTAGCTGACTGCATAAATGTGGAACTCTGCAGCAAATTGAAAAATGGAAATATACAGGGCTAGGTATTTGGCTCTGAGGTAGAGCACTTGTTTAGCCTGTGTGAGGTCCTGAGTTCAATCTGTAGTACTGCAAAAAAGAAAAAAAATAAATCTAAAAAGTGGCGACAGGTGTTTGTCATGAGATATATACCTTGAATTACAATTAGGAGGCACATCCTAGACTTAAATGGTAATGCCAGAAACAGCCCTGGAAAGGGAGGGTGGGGTCCATGATTGGTTCCCATGCCTGAGCATCTGAATACAGTTGGTGGTCATCACAGACACAGCTGAGGACATGAAGTGGCTGTGGGAATTGTGTGAGGAGGTGGCTGGTCTGGCAGATGTCTAGGCTCCCATGGGAAGAGTGGACATGAGTCATACAGAAACTCAAAATAACTGAGGCAACATGATAGGGTGGCCAATACTTGTGTTTGTTCTTCAGACTTTGGGCTCACTGGGATTTAGGAGTGACCCTCGATATGCTTGGGGGTTTTAGTAAGGCTAGTGGGTTAGCTTAGGGACACAAGAGGTCATCTGGGAGGTCACCAGGCCTGGAGTGGAGGGCCTCTGGAGCAAGGTCTTGAATTATGGTTTGAGGAGAGAGAAAGGCTGTGACTGATGAGGGGGCATCAAGTGCAGCACAAGTGGGAGAAGGCCATCAGTGTCTGGTGATTATCCAGGTGGTTCCCGGTGACAGAGGCTGGAGCAAGCAGCAGGCAGGCCAGGAAGTACAGAGCAGGATGGGGCTGCCTATGTCAGTGGTCATGGATCCTGTCTCAGTTTGCCACGCTCTCTGGATGCCTTGTTCTAAGCAATGTGGGGAGACCAGGGAGAGGCCTGTGGTGTGATGCTGGGGTGGAGGCACCTGGGGACTGAGACTGTCTGCGTGAGAAGGGATGAGCACATGGTGCGGGAGAGAGACCCGTTGGCACTGGCATGGAAGACACAAGGGTGAAGGTATGCTCATATGTGTCTGTGTGGGGGAAGTATGATCTGGGGAATCCTGGGATAGCAGCCTGGCAAATGTGGGTGCCACCCCAAGTTACCAGATCCAGAGTTACATGACTTCTCCTGGCCCACCTGCCTGTTGGTTTTGTGGGAAGAAACAGTGATAGAGGGACCATGATGTGAGAGTGAGTGACACTTGGTGTGGCATCTCCATGGAGGCACAAGACAGGGAGGAGAGTGGGTAGGGAAGGTGTGTGGGTGGATGAGCTTGGACTCCTAGGAGAGAAGTTGATTATTGCATGATCTGTCCTGTCATGACAGAGCTGTGTCACCTTTGAGGACGTGGCTGTTTACTTCTCCCAGGAGGAGTGGGGGCTCCTTGATGAGGCTCAAAGGCTGCTGTACCTTCACGTGATGCTGGAAAACTTTGCACTTGTAACCTCTCTGGGTAAGATCCTTATACTACCATTGTCCAGGTTTCTGTCTGTCCTCTCTCCCCCCACAGGCAGCTCTGCCAGACCATGGGCTCTGCTAATTTCTCACTGTGTTGACATGTGTGCTGTGGGTGCCAGTGCCAAGCCATGTGTGCTGCCTGAGCAGCCTAACACCTGCTGCCCCAGAGCATTCGTGGAGGTCTGGGTGGCAGGCACTGTGCCATCAGCTTCATGGATCTCACTTGCCTCGACCTTCCCTTGGCCAGTGTTCATATCCATGAGACCTTTTGCTCTAGCTCTGCCTCCTACTAGCCAGGATTTTCTCATCCTGTCTCTATCAGGAATTGTAGGCATTGTCATGATCAGTGCTTATGTGGACCATGAACTGTGTCCTCAGGTCCTTCTTCCAGACTTTTTGTAATACTGATTTTTTTTTTCTTATGATCTTTTGTATGTTGAGTGCTCTGGGCCACTTCTGATTACTTAACCTGTCCCTCTTTCATTGACACTTAGATCATGCACTTTCCATGTAATTGTACAGACAGGGGATGGGGAGAGTCCTAGCTGTTTGACAAGGTGGACATGGTAACATGGTCTCAGAGAGGTCTTTGTCCTGCTGGTGGCAGTAGGGTTCAGGTCAGGCCAGAACCTGCAGTGTGTCTAGCAGTGTTCTGGTATGCAGGCTTGTGGCCAGTGCCTCACTTCTCTTTTCTTCTCGTGCTCAACACTTTTTTCACCTGCCCTTTCACTTGTGATTGCTGGCTCCTGGCCACCCCAACCTTCCTGGTCTCTGTGTATTACTTGTGCCTCTACAAGGCCCCTCAGCCATGTTTCCAGAACTGGCCCACACCTAATGTATATTATGCACATTACAATTAGTCCTCTGATATTTTGACATTAAGGAAGCCTGGGGGTAATGGTAGTAGAGAAGTCTTGGAGGCAGGGCATAAGTTGCCCTGAACAGAATAGAAATACTTAATTATGAGAGTAAGAAAGGAGGAGTACAATGGATTACATGGTTAGGAAATCACAGATATTACCATAAATATGGAACTTTATTTACTTTGGAATAGACCTAAATTTGCTGGTAGGACTGGGTGTCAAAAAAGTTGTAGCTTATGTATTCCTGTGAAATGGTGGAAGGGAAGTTACCTTAAATTGGGTGGGTAAGGGTGGGTCTTGTTCATAACATAGGTGGTTAACTGATGTAGTTGGTAGATGTTTAGATGTATGGCTGTGTGCTTTTCGTATATTACCACATGACTCATTTCAAGTGGGTGCAGCTTTCTGCATTCATCTTGTGTTTTGCACAGATAAAAATTGTGCATAAGAAAACACAAAATTCAAATTGTGTCAATTGTGTTATAATGAATTCACATTTCCAAACAAAAACAAAAAAAGAAAAGAAAAGAAAGGAGGAGTACAGATAGAAGGATACAGAGTCTTGAGGGGCAGTGCTTCACTAATTGTTTTATGTATATGGCATTAGCCAAAAATATGAATTTTTTCTGGGGCTCTCCAATAGTATCTTTCAGGAGGTATACAGTGTGTTGAAAATGTGCTCTGGTGCAGTTGGCAGGTCCAATAGATGTGTGGTAGAGGACATGAGCTGACCTATTTATAGAGACTGGTGGCATTGTGTCTAACCAAGAAGGGAGAATGGTTTTGGAGTCTGGGGTATTTTTACTAAACTTGCAACCAGCATTCCAACTCTCCAGGCACCAACTGGGGATCTGCATTTCAATTCAGTTCTGACTTTTATAGTGGGAGTTAATAACAGTTAAAGGTACAGTCCCAGAAGACTGCCCCACTTCATATGCCAGCCACAAATGGGGTGCCCAAACTACTTTATTTCTGCCTAGGCAATTATAAATTCAAGGGTCCCACATACACCCTCAGATTTGATTTTCCTACAATAACTCACACAACTTAGAAAAATACTTTTGGAAGAATACAACTCAGGAATAGCTAAATGGAAGAGATGCACAGGAAAAGGTATGGGCAGAGGGAACATTCATGCCCTTTCTAGCATGCCACTATCCGTTCTGCTCAGAGATTCTCTGAATCCTCACTGTAGGGTGTTTATGGCATTCTCACTACCTAGCCTGGTTGATCGAATTATTGCCAGTTGATGATTAGCTTAATCTGCAGCCCCTCTCCCTAATCTAGTGAATGAGTATGAGGCTGGAAGTTCCAACCCTCAGGTCAGGTCTTGGTCTTTTGGGACACCCACAATCTGAAGCCGGCAGGGACCCCAGCAAGTTGTCATCTCATAAGCATACAAAAGACACTCATCATTTGGAAGCCTTAAGTTTAGGAACAGACACAATTGGACTGTCAAATAGAGAAGCAGTATGGATAATTAGATTTTATATAGTAAATTTTTAATCCTTGAAAACCCTGTTTTAACTTACTCTGGGCTTTGGGCTATTTGGAGGTAGGGGAGGTTGATGCTGAGGATTAAACCTAGGGCCTTGCACAAGTTAAGCAATCACACTACCATTGAGAAACATCCCCAGTCTATATTAACTGTTTTACATGGAGGGCCTTTTGAACACCATTTTGCTAAGCTAGTTTGTGTCAAAGATTTACTTTAAACTTATTTATATGTTAGAGCATCTACGTCCAATATGGAATATTTTCAGGTAGTGGATACTAAATCAGGAAGTTTTATACAATACTAAAATTGAAATAAGATATACCTGTCTTCCTATTTTATATTTGGTTACTTTTATTAAGATTGTAGAAAGTACAGAGTTTAAATTGAGGGCAATTTCCAAGTATAATTTGAGCCCCAATAATGATTGATTTGTGAAATTTGTCAAATTGATACCTTTTAATAAATACTAAAGTTAATTTAGAATCATTTGTAGAAGCACAAATACCCATCAACACCCTTCTAATCTTTACCATCCCCCTAGCCCAGTGCTGGGGATTAAACTACACCAGGAGCCCATTACATTCTTACCATAAAGATGCCCATTGCTGCCATCAGTCATGGTGACCTGCTATCTGCTGTCTGCTCAGTGGATCAGACTCATCTAGTCATTTTTGGTGATCTTTAGGGAAGCCTTTCCCTGTTTCCAGTGGAGGGTCATATTCATGCTAGACAAACACTCTATCACTGAGGGTATACCTTCAATCCTCTCATCTTTTTGTTTACATTCTTTCATATGCAAGTTTTGGCTTTAAAATTGTGTTAAAATTATGGAATTTGGTTTTAATTTTGTGACAAATGCAATTTTTCTGCTGTCTATTTATATTGAAAATATAAACTTGCACATTATCATAATTTATCAAGATTTTTGTTTCTGTATGATTTTTTTGACATTTTATAAATTCTTGCAGACTGACCCCACATTTTAGCACGGTGGGGGGGGGGGATTGTGACAAATGCAATTTTTTAAATTTTGTTAATTTTTTAAATTGAAAATATAAACTTATACATTAATAATTTATTTAATTATTATCTTCTCCCTATCCCTAGCAGGTTGGGTTTTTCTTGTTTTCATGGACTTTTTCCTTTCTCTCTTATATTTTGTTCATTTTCTTCTTTAGGCTTTTAGCTCCCTGAAGCTTTGGGTTTATAGTTTCCATTTCTGACAAATAGGAGGTGGGAAGGAGCCTGGGTTCTGCAGGCAATAGCCTCTCCCTGGATGGCCTCTGCCTGCAGCATAGTCAACTGTGCCACCCCGCTGTGGTCAGGTGGGATACTTATCTGAAAAGCTTCTGTTGGCAGGAATGGCACCTTGAAAATGGAGGTCTCCCCTCTTAGGGTGTTCTAATCCACCTTGCAGTACCTTGAGTTGACATCCTGGAGAGCAATAGAAGCTTAGCTTATTTTTCAAATTCTTTGTTTTTTGACTGTTTAGTTTGAAGGGAAATTCTTACCACGTTAATAAGTAGCAGCACTTAAATGTGCCCAAGCCCACTAACCAGAAGATTTACAATCTAATGAGCTGAGAAATTTTCTCAACTGTCTTAGGAGGAGGTGAAATAAATATTCCTTGCCCTTTTCCATGTTTTCATTAGACACTGAGCTGCAGGTTTCCAAACATGGAACTACCTTTCCTTCCATGAGGCATAATAGCACCAGGTTAAAGCAACCCCAGGATTTGCCTTTGGAGCATCTGCACTTCCTGGATCATGTGGTAGGAAGGGGTCCCTGCACCTGCACCCAGTGGGTGGTATGTAGGGATGGGCCTGGGCAATCAACAGATTTCCCGCTAAGCATGCAGTGTCCCAGGCCATAGACATTCAGTCACGGTTCTAGTGGGGTGTCAACTAGGAATTTTTTTGCCCAGACTGACCTTTTACTAAGGTAAAGAATAGGATGTACAATAAATGAGGAACACCCCTTGGGCTCATTGCTGCTATCAGTCATGGTGACCTGCTATCTGCTGTCTGCTCAGTGAATCAGGCTCATCTAGTCATTTTTGGTGATCTTTAGGGAAGCCTTTCCTTGTTTCCATTGGAGGCTTCTCACCCTGTAGGCTAGTCAGTGGCCTTTGACTTCCTGGAACTACACCAGGAGCCCATTACCTTCTTACCATAAGACGCCCAGAAACACACTGGCCTAGAGACACCCATTGCATTAAAGCATTTAGGCCCAGGTACACTGGGAACACAAAAACCTCCCCTGTGCTGAAATGTGGGGTCAGTCTGCAACAATTTAGGTTGAAAAAACTGAAGCAAGAAAAGGAAGACCCCGCCCACGCAGGTTCCAGTCAAAGTATAAGCACAGCAGTGGTCAGCAGTGCTCACTCAGACAGCACATGGTCATGGCCTAAGCATGCAGTAATCACAGCAGAACCTCTGCTGTAGGGCCCAGCCACCCTGCTTGCTGCATCCATTTTCTTAACATGTACCTGTGGATTTTAATTATAAGAGGTGACTGAGGGCCAATAGGGAGAAGTAAATGCCATTGAAAGGGGAATTTATGACAGTTCTGAGAGAAAGAGGTGCATTGCACTTTGCAGGGTGGTGTGTGTAAGCAACAGGTGGTCAGGAGGCAGAAGCAAGAGGGGAATATTAGGGCACATAGCCTTTATTGGGTTTGTAGCAAAGTCAGTAAAGAATATAAATAGCTCATATGGGTGGGTTGGAATGATTTCAGTGGGCTCTGGGAAAGGGAACTGGCCTTAATTATCCAGTACCTGGTCCCAGGATAGTTAGGGCTGAGGATTGTTCTCCTGGGGTGTATAAGCCAGGGAAACATGGTCTGCAGGATGGGCTCTGGATTGAATAACTAGTGTATTAACTGCATTAACTCTCAGTTGAGCTCTTTGCTGTCTGTTAAGAACTGGATAGCCCTATAGGGAGGGGGCAGTGTCCCTGACCAGCAGCACTTCATAAAAATGTCAAAAAAAATCATACAGAAAAAAAAAAAATCTTAAATCATGGTTAATATACTGTCACCACAGTCCACATGCATTTCATCAGTATGTCTCTTTTCAGTTTACTGGCATGAAGCAGAGGATGAAAGGATACCTCCTGGGCCAAGGGTTTCTGCAGAAGAAGCATCACACATCAGGACTCCAAAACAAAGTCCATCTTTCCAAAAGACTCACCCCTGTGACATTTGTATACTAATCCTGAAGAATATTTTGCATCTGGATGATCTACCTGGACAGCAACTGTACTTTTCTGGGGCCTGTGAAAACCTTCACCAGGAACAGAAACATCAAAGTGCAGAGAACACATTAAAAAGAGAAGTGAACAGTGCCTCCTTTGTGAAGAGCTGCATATTTCATGTGTCAGGGAATCCTTTCCTCTGTAGGAAGACTGGAAAGGACTTCCCTGATAAGTGGGGCATTCTTCAGCCCCAGGCCATTCCCAAAGGTGAGAAGCCAAACACAGTCAGAGAGTGTGGGAAGGTCTTTCACTGTGGGAAAAATCATTGTAAGTCAGGAGCATGCAGAGACACTTCCAGCCACAAACACACACTTATTCGTCATCTAAGAGTCTGCACTGGAAAAGGGGGTTTTGATGCTAGCAAATGTGGAACAGCCTTCCAAGAGAAATACTCACTTGTTCCGTTCCAGAGAGTCCATGCTGGAAAAAGGCCTTATGAATGCAGTGAATGTGGGAAATCTTTTAGCCAAAAAGCTACCCTTATTACACACCAGAGAGTTCATACTGGAGAAAAACCATACAAGTGTGGTGAATGTGGAAAATCATTTAGTCAAAGCTCAAACCTCATTGAACACTGCAGAGTTCACACTGGAGAAAGGCCTTATGAGTGTGATGAATGTGGAAAAGCCTTTGGGTGCAAATCTAACCTTGTTCGACATCAGAGAACTCATACAGGAGAAAAGCCATATGAATGTGGCCAATGTGGGAAATTCTTTAGACAGAGCTTTAGCCTCATTGAACATCAGAGCATTCACACTGCAGCACGGCCTTATGAGTGTAGCCAGTGTGAAAAATCCTTTAGTCAGAAAGCTACTCTCATTATACATCAGAGAGTTCACACTGGAGAAAGGCCATATAAGTGTGGGGAGTGTGGGAAATCCTTTAGTCAAAGCTCCAACCTTATTGAACACTGCAGAATCCACACTGGAGAGAGGCCTTATGAGTGTGGCGAATGTGGAAAATCTTTTAGTCAAAGAGCCACCCTCATTAGACACCAGAGAATTCACACTGGAGAAAGGCCTTATGAATGTAGGGAATGTGGCAAATTCTTTAGACAGAACTTTAGCCTCATTGAACATCGTAGAATTCACACTACAACAAAGATTTATGAGTGTGGCCAGTGTAGGAAATCTTTTAGCCAAAGGGCTACACTCATTAGACATCAAAGAGTTCACACTGGAGAAAGGCCTTATGAATGTGGGGAATGTGGCAAGTCCTTTGGGTACAAATCCAAACTTGACCGACACCAGAGAACTCACACTGGAGAAAGACCTTACGAGTGTGCTGAATGTGGGAAGTTCTTTAGGCAAAGCTACAGCCTCGTTGAACACCAGAGAGTTCACACTAGAGCAAGACCTTATGAGTGTGGCCAGTGTGCAAAATCTTTTAGTCGAAGAGCTGCCCTGGTTAAACATCAGAGAGTTCACACTGGGGAAAGGCCTTATAAGTGTGGTGAATGTGGAAAAACCTTTAGTCGGAGCACTAGCCTTATTCAACACTGCAGAATCCACACTGGAGAAAGACCATATGAGTGTGACCAGTGTGGGAAATCTTTTAGGCAAAAGTCTGTTTTAATTCAACATCAGGTAGTTCACACTGGAGAAAGGCCTTATGAATGCAGCAAATGTGGGAAATCTTTTAGCCAACGCTCAAGCTTCTTTCAACACCAAAAATGTCACGCCATGGGAGTGCCTCACAGAGGCAGCAGATGTGGGGAATCCCTCAGCCCAAGGTCTCCTGTTGCTTAGTTTCTGAAAGCCCGTGCAAGAAAGGCCTTAAACCTACAAAGGAATATGCTGTCTTTGTAACCCGCACTAGAGAGCTTTTATAAAGAGGTCACCACATGCATTTGCACGCATCCAGAGGGCTAAGGACCCTATGAGTCGTGGCACATGTGAGGAGGATGGGAGCTGCTCTGAACATTTTAGACTGCTGCCCTCACCAAAGTCGAATCACAGCCACATTCTCACAGGAGTTGTCTCCCATCTAGCCCCAAGCACCTCAGCACACACAGCCTCGGTGCCTGTGTTCTCCCCATTCTCTAGAGGAAATCTCCCATAACCTGATCCATGAGAGTGATCCATTTTTCTTACTATTGTGCATCTGTGTTCTGGCTAAGGGGACCCAGCCCGGGCTCAGCTGGAGGCTTGGGAAGTCCTCTTCATTGAATTCTGGCCTCGTGTGACACTTGTAGTCGATGATTACAGATTTCAAGTTACTAACCAGTGTCTTCCTGTTGAGCACTGCTCTGATTTGTGGACTGATAAAGGCCTTTTGTTTGAGCTACTTTTAATCAGGGGGTTCTGTTCACAGCCTTGGGTGGGTAGAATATGGATGGGTCCTGTTTGTTTTAAAAGATGGACAGCTTTTATAGGACCTCTTCATTTTGGGTCTCAGTAAAGAACTTAGTGGCAGAGAGTGGTTCTCATTCTGTTTTGTTTAACATGAATTACTACCCAAGACCCCCATTGGACAGTGCAGGGCTTTGTGGTCCTAGTTTGGAGCCTCAATGCCTCTGAATTTGTTTTGTGTTTTAGATCAGAGATCACCTTGAAGAGGGGTCAGTTGTTATGGCCACGTTCAGTACTTTCAGAAATACTCTGAATTTATTTCATTATTTCCACATAACTTCCCATAAAACTCAGTATTGTTGAGGGAAACTTCATCGGGTTCTATAGTCATGCAGTCTGACATCCATGATCCCATAGGTCAGCATCACTGATACAAGAATGCAGGAACCAGATACCAACACCACTTGGAACAGAAGTACGTGGCGTGATCAGTGGAGTGGAGGGCTGGCAGACAGAACGTGCTACTTGTAAAAGTGCACCCCAGATCCTAGGACTAACAGATCATGCTACTTCCAAATCTATGTTCCACTGTGGTCAGGATCATCATCGGTAGATACTCATGCTCTTGTCAAGTTCCCATCATTTTTCTGGGCTGTTCTCCTAAGTCTAAATGGGAAAAAAAAAAAAAAAGGAGGAGGCCAAAAAAGCAAGGGATTGGGGAAAGTTCCTACATGCGGTGGAGTCGGGGAGATGGGAAGTTCCTGTCTGAGAGGTAAAGGCTGTTCCCCCCACCCTCTTTTTTTGGCCAGGCAACTGCAGCTGCTCCTGTCTCAGTATAACTTTCATTGCTCACCATTTTTTCCTGCCTAGTATAAGGCTGCCCTTCTCTGGGCACAAGGAAGGAGGTACTGGAGTGAACACGTGGTTGCCATGCCTGGTTTCCAAAACCTCGGGTGACTTTTACTCTCTTTATCTATACACACCACACACACACACACACACACACACACACTGAGGCACAGTTGACCTTCAATAACCAGTATACATTTAAGACACATAATCTGAGCCAGGTTATCACACACACACACACAAGCCCATGAAGTATCCCTGATCTGAATAGTGAACATTTCCAGAATTGTCTCATATAATCTCCCTGCCTTCCTCAGGCCTTCAGGTGTCCAGTGATTTACTTTCTTTCACTATGAATCAGTTTGCATTTTTTTTTTTTACAGTTTTACATGAGAGGAATCAAAGTATTTGCTTTTTTAAAATATTTTTTCATGCTGTATAATTACTTTTAGCTTTATTGATGTTGACACCCTTTGTATTGCTACATAGTATTCTGTTCTATGGACATGCCACTATTTGTTTATTGATCTGTTAAGGGGTAGGTGATTTTTTTCCAATTTGGGGTATTCACAAAGTTGCAAAGAACATAGGTATAAATTTTTAATAAGGAAATACATTTCTCTTTTGCTAATAACTTCAAGTGAATGTTTCACTTAACAAACACAAACCAAAAAACATGGCAAACTGTAACCTAAACGGGTTGTGTCCATTGTGATCCCAACAGCAGTGTGTGAGCATTCTTCATCCCTGACAAGCTTCTGCTTGGTAGGGCTGGTGTTTTAAATTTTAGCCATGCAAATAAGTCTGTAATATCATTTCTCTGTGGTTGTAATTGCACTTCTGTAATGTTTTGTAATGTTGAGCAGCTTTTTTCACCTATTATTTGCCACCTTTATATCCTTTTTTCTTAAAAATCTTTGTTAATACCCTTAGTCTACTTTTAATGGATTGATTCATATTCTTCTTTTCATTAAAAATAAATATGTATAGAAAAGACGTGTTATAACTTCATTTGGTCTTTAGTCAGTCCCACTAGTGACTTTTTTGCTGAATGAAGATTATCTTTAAATCTTAGAACAATATTTTTTGCACCAAAGTGGCCCCAGTAAACTTCCAGCTGATTGGCTCCTCTGTGGTGAGCCAATCAGCTGGAAGTTTGCTGGGGCCGCTTGGGCTGCGGCTCTCAACTCTTCTGCACCATTTATCTTGTGACAGTCCAAACTATTTTCAAGCCTAATCTGCATTATTAACATATCTGTCCCGACCGGCAGGACACATCAACGTGGGCCTTGAACTTAGGTGGGGAGGAATGAAGGGACAAGAGACACAGAAGGATGACAGCAAGACAGGAGTTCTGATCAAGCTGCAAACTTTAGTGTTCACACAGGGGTATTTATGGGCTGGGAATGGGGGAGCTCTCTTATCAGCAGTTGCTGGATGTCTTCACAAGGTGAGATAACGCAGGATGTTTCAGGAAGACAGATGGCCGCAGGATGTCTCAGGGAGATAGATGGCTGCAGGGTGTCTCCCAGGCAGGATGTCTCCCAGGGGGCTGTTTCTTGTAACTGTCAGGCTATTCTTTGAAGGAGAACTCCCTTCTAGTCCCTGGCATCTCCCCCTTACTTATATAAAATATTTGACCATACCTTACCGGCCTGTGTCTAATAGAGAAATCTTTAATTCTGTTACTTAGGGCTGGATAACCATACTAGCAAACATTAAGCCTACCTGTGTAGGTTAGAAATAAAGGCCTTAAACTAAAAACTATTCTGGCAGTCCCTTTTGATGGTTATCAGGCATTCCTGTCTGAGAATCTCTTTTGCAGCCTCCAGTTTACTTATTCTTGGAAGTTTCTATCTATTGTTAACAGTCAGCTGAGTTTCCCTGGGAGTCCTCGGGGAGCTTACAGCAGCTTTTCAGTTCTGCGAGTGCCATTTGCGCTAGGATGGGTCCAGGCCTTGCTTGACCATATGGCTTCCCTCGGAAGCATCAGGGATGTCTCCCTTTTCTGATGACCCTCCTCTTCACAGCAAATGCATTGATTGGCTTTCTGTCCTCCGCTGGTCTCATTAATCTCCCTGTTCAGGAGGTTATGTGGCCTAGAGTTGCAGAGCTCTTTGGAGAAGTCCCCTACTCCCTGACTCAGACTGCCTCTGAGGGCAAGAGCCAAATATTGGTTTTCTTGGCCCTTTTAATTTAACTTTAATTTTAGAACTTAATCTTAAACATCCAGCAAATAAGTTTTAACAGCCTTATATAAAAAGTACTGGGCTTTAATGTCTATATCTCTATCCTGTAGATGATAACTCCTTATCTTAAATTAACCCAGGTTGTGTGTTCTTAAATCAGTACCTCTGCAAAACATTAACAGGGCAATCCTTAGACCACCTATAAGCAAACTTCAAACTAAAATTAACTAGGGTAAAAACATATTTAGTTTATATAATAGCTACCTCGAACTTTGGCAGGGTTATACATTATAATCCCCTGTTTGAGATCCTAGTAATCTTGGCAAAAACCAAATTTTGGACACAACTTTAAATGTACTGAAATCTGGCCTACTTCTTTCATAGTCTCGGGCTCTTCATAAATCTTAAGTACTATAGTTCTGAAGCTGATCTTTGCTTTTTAGACATCATTTTACAAAGCTTACATAAATTGTTGTTCAAGTTTACATGAATATTAGCTAACACAACATAATATCACATCTAAAACATGAATTAAAGAAAAGCTGAAAGCTTTTAACCTTTTATAGAAAAGTAGCAAAGTACTTTTGTGTTTTACAATAAAACCTTCACACAGATTAGGCTCTCATTAACTTAAAAATACATTTAAATTGTATCTCAGTGTAAAAGTAACATGGAACTTTACATATCTTATTGATAACAAGTCCAGTTATAGAACACAAATGATATAAATAAATCTCCAACATGTTTTTCTTTTAAGCCTAAAATTACCATACAACTTCAGAACACCAGCTTGATATAATGCTCTTTTGAAGCTTCTACCTTACAGACTTGTATATCTGGAAGATATGAATTAATAGCACCATAATTACATTGATGATTTTATATTAACCAAATTTAACTCTTAAAGAAATAACATTATAATATTGAAAAATAACAGTTGTTGTTTAACCATAGTTGTATAATTTTTAATTTCTTTAAGATTACTTGTTCAAAAACTTACACATATAACCAATTTACACAGACCTTTTTTATCACTTACTTAAACCCTTTTGTTAACTTGATCATATAGACTTTTTTATCCAGAAACCATTTTCCTTCTATTAAATCCATATCTAGAACCTTTTAGTTTTTCTTTTCCATCTGTTAACCTTCTTTTTTGTTCACATTTTGAAACAATACTTGTAAATTTCTGAATTTAAGCAATTATTTCATAGACATCAACATTTTATTAGGTTTTATTTTTGAACACCTAGAAAAACTTATAAGCTTAATTTTAAAGACATCTTTACTTTTATCTGTTTGCCCAATTTAAATTGAACCATTTGAATCACGTGAATCAAAGATATTTGGATCCGTTTTTTTTTTATGAGTGCTCCTCGTATATCTGCCAATTGTCATATAACTGCATGATATATGGACATATACACATACAGACATACTGACATACAACACATAACACAAATGTAACACATACACAAGGCCTTGTAGCTGTTTTTTTTTTTTTTTTCAGGTGAAATCTCCATTGCAATGTTTAAAAACTCCACAGTTGATCAAAAATGGAACTGATCAGAAAACATTAACTTGCCTATAGGATCAAAAAAATACAGAATCTAAGAAAAGCAAGAATCCTAAAAAGATGACTGGCCAGTAATTAGTAAATACCATACAGTTTACTTTTTCGTTTGGTCTTGTTTGAGTTCAGGTAAAAAGACACTTTTAAGAAAGGGGGATCTGTGGGGATGTAAACTTAAGAAATAAGCCTTTGAGAAGGGTAGAACATCCTTTCAAATGTTGGCAGCGCGGTCTTCCATCTCCAGACGATGATAGTGAACCTGTATGGGCCTAGAGGCCAAAATATTAATCTGTTCTTTAATAAATTGTACCAGCCTGTTTATAATGCAGGGTCCTATGGACACCATTAAAAGTAAACCCAACAAAGGGCCTAATAGTGGAAGAAGGTAGGGTAGAAATCCATTAAGCCCAGTCCAGAGGGGATTTTCAAATAGTTCCCTTCATCTCTTTTCTAAATCTTCTTGAAGCTGCTTAATTTTAGTCCATACTATGCCTGATTTATTGGCATAAAAGCAGC